GTCCCATATAGATTCTAAAATATAATGACTGGTGGTTATGACCTCTTTTATAATTTTTCAGGGGTTGTTTCAGAATATATTCTGAACCATTTACTATAATTCTCAACATGATGGGTCCACAACCCTTCTGTAGGCTGGCAAATACGTCTATCAATTCGTGGATGCAAGACAAATCGCTAAATAGATTGGGCTTTACCCAAATTCACCAAAACTACAGCCGCAGTTTTATGTGGTACATTATCGGCTCATGAAATATATGAGCCCGAGTTGCCAGGGACCTTCAACTGCTCTCAGGATGAGATTCTCATCCAACGCGTTCAGTGCTGTAATATCGAAGGATTCGACGGTCCACGGGCATCGAATTAGTTATAATAAACGATCGGAAATTGATATTTTGTTCAGTTTATTCACTGTTGTTATTATTGCTTTTAGTTTTTGTAGTTGGTTATAAGTAATTTACCACAAAATATATTATAATAACCTTAAATTTCGTTTTTATGTGAGCGAACGCCTATGATCGAAGAACAAAATTGACTCCACACTTCGTTTGGGATGATAGTAGTGGGAGTGGACTTACTGGTTGATTCTTACTATGGCTAAGGCATGGGACATGCGGCAAACCACTTCTCAGCGGTTGATTTTCTTGGTACAAAGTCTAGTTCATCAAGCCGAGCCTTGGCCTCGACAGTATTTTTTTGCCAAAAAACAAATGCTCCATTTACTCACGACATTCTTTTTTATTTTCTTCAAACTCACCCTTCATTCAAATTGTTCTATCCCACAAACTGATAGTCCGCCAGCTGTCATATTTGTACACGTGTCTTTTGAAGGTTATGTTTAACTGAAAATCATATGGATTCGATTCTAGTAGCGCCATCTATGAGTTAGCCTACGAACGTTTCTGATAATCTAATAGCTCAAGTATCTGTCTCTTTTTCTTTCTTTTAAAAATATTTTTCAGTATAGTCTATAGGAAGTCAATTCGAATTGCATAAAAACTTAATAGTTACCAAAAGTTGGCAGTTTCTTTGTATGGTATAAGCGTGGTATAATTTACGAGGTCCAATCATTATTTTTATGTGGGAGACTTTATAGCTGTTCTGTTTGACTTCGTATGGACTATATTTTTGTATATCGTTGTCGGTTTATTGTTAAACTGTTGTTATTTTTGATTTTTGTTTTGTCCTGTAATGGAGTAAATTGTAAGTCAATTGAAACATTTTCATTTATTAATTTTATTTATTATTATCTGGTTATTACAAGATTGAGATAGAGCCCCCAGCAAATTTTCTTCAGAATATTGAAACGTTATTTTCAATAATACTTTTCATGAAATATTCATCACAGTTTTTCTTTCACTTCTACCGTGAACCGGAAAAAACAAAAAATCAACCGAGGCTTCCTCGAACTTCCGTAATTTCAGCAGCTCCACCGTGACGTCGTACTCAATACCATAATCCTTGCAACTAGGATAATCGAGTAAAAACCCGGAAAACGTATGCGGTTTTCCATCTATCTACATGTTGAATGAAAAGAAAGAAAAATAATTGCGAAATCTTCCGATCAGGTTTCGCGGCACTTTCCGGGGCTTAGCGCTGAATTTTTAATCAGTTTCTCAAACACGAACAGTTTTAGATGGGCGTCGGATATTTTCTCCATTTATTTTTCCGCTCTCGACAACGGCTGTTCAATTTTTACGTTTGCTCAACTTGAGTACGGATTACGCCCTGTAACGTAATATATACCGACAAGGGAGAGTCGATAGGGATTTTCGTGGAAAAAGGAAATAGAGAGTAAACTTATTACCAGTGTAGTTGCGCAGATAATTAAAATTCAAAAAAACATTCTTGAAAAGCAGAATTTTTTAGAAAAATGCCCTGTCTCTCGAGTAACATCGATATTAATAACTTCAACCGGGCGATGAATAAACGGATTGTAATTGATGTTATCATCAGTGATATCTGAAATTAGCTCAGAGTTGAAGGTTGAAATATGAGTACCACAAGGAACGACATTGGGTCCGATATTGTTTCTTTTTAACATAAACGTATTGCTCTGATAAATGAATTCATGAGACATCTAATATGTTATGCAGATGACAAAGCTCTAATTATCACAGGTGAGAATTTGGAAGAAGTAAATTATAAAGCGGAGTAACTATATTGAGGCATAAATTCAACGATATATGCAATAGAAAATAAAGAGACAATTAAACACCAAATGACCCTACAAACAGCAACCCCACCAACTCAAGAATAACCGACTCAACATCCTACCCCTTTCAGGACTATCTGACAAACAAATGTAAAACCTTTGGAAAATTATTTGTTTCCAGGTTGAGTGTAAGAGCGCGTCTTTTCGATAACTCACCGTCAAGACCGAACTCTGCCTTTTGCCGGATTACCATATAAGTTTGTATTCTATTTTGTAGTCTGGGACAATAAAATATATTATTATTATTATCTGTTACATAATAACTGATGAACAACGAAATTCACTAGCTTTTATTTGCTAGTGCTGCTATATTCATGTTTAGGTCGGGAACTTTTTAGACCACCCTCGTAGGTATCTTTGTAAAGAGTTCATTTTGAAGTCAATTCCTTTCTCACTTTTTTTGGAAGATTCCCACTGTTTTTTGTTTGTTTAAAGATGGGGAAGTAGAAAGCAACTATTTTTAAAGCTCCTTCGAAAAAGTCTGTCGAAACGGTGATTTTCCACTCTTTAGCTAATCCTCTACAAGGTTTTGCTGCTAGTAAACTATAGCCCTCAAATACCAATTTTGATTTCCAACCATGGCAAGTCGTCAAAAATTTCTGACTATAATTCTTTGTCCGTAACATCGCCAGCTAATGTTCTTGTTTTATTTACGAATACCATTCAGACATTTAACATCAAATTTATTCATGGAGCATCTGTCCCGTTAATAAATTAAATTCAAACGATGACAGAGCTTCAGGATTCGAAAATAATCTTTGTTTATATTATGTTTATTAAAAGGCTTTGCTGGATTTGCGGTCGGATAAAATCCACTTAAAGTACAAAACCCTGACTTAAATTAACACATATTTTCTATATCTGAGCTCTTGATGTTTGCGAGATCGCATCTGACTTAATAAATATTATAAATCAACTCAACGTTTCATAATAAAAACAGATGGAACTTCTCGAGTTAGTTCTTCCACACGTATAAGAGAAGTTTTTCTAGAATTTCAAAGACACCTAACCAATTCTATGTTTAGATAAACTCCTGACGGTCCTAATTTAATGGTGCAAGAATGCGTGTCGAGAAAAGTGTTCGACGGTTCTGGTGTACAGCATTTTCATAAGAATCACCTGAAGTAACTGAACTTACATGACATAATGAACGAATGACCCTTTTTGTTTATTGATACTATAATCGATTCATATTATATTAGTTTCTCATTTGATTATACAATCAAATATACTACTCTGTGATAAAGAAGATGAATTTTCGTTTTTCTCAACATATATTCATTTATTCATCAATTTCTATTTTGTCTCTTTCAAAGTAGTCCTCCTCTGGACTTCTGCTATCAAAATTGTACAGGCACGGCTTTTCTCTGACCCTTAATCAACTTTTTATATCATATTTCACTGACAGGCGTCATCATTATGTTTTATTCAAAGGCTTCAAGTCTGTGGAATATGTAGCTACCTCGGGTGTTCCGCAAGGAAGCCATCTCAGTCCACTTCTCTTTAATGCATTCATAAACGACATAGTTGAGGTCATTGACATCAACTGGTTGATATACGCGGATGAATTGAGATTATATTGTGAGATCAATGGCATTAAGGACTGTCTTCAACTATCCCTCAATCTGAAACGTGTTGAGCAATGGTGTTTTCGCAATAATCTTCCTTTAAACGCGAGTACATGAAATGTAATGACGTACACACTGAAAAATCATCCATTTTCATAAAAATATTCAATAAACGATATTCCACTTCAACGGCCTCCCACATTCACCGATCTAGTTGTTTTGGAAAAACAAAATGCATGTCATGATACAACCGATATGATGACATCCTCAGCAACTCCTCTAATAGTAGTTTGATGATTCTACATTATAATTTTCTCCACTTTCTCAAAATTTTCATCGGTTTTTAATGTGCTGGAATGTCCAAGGTGGGCGTCGTTATTCATATCTTCTTGATTCATTTTGATCCATTTTTTCCAAAGCAGAAAATTGCTGTGCAAACCAGTTTTATGCCTCTGTTTTGGTTGGATGACGGTTTTGGTTAATATCTACAAGTGTGTCAACTGCAACTACGGCAGTCATTTTCAGTGCTAATGTAACATCTGGTGTTCCTCAAAGATACCATCTGGTACCATTACCAGGTTTATAACAATCATTGCAGCTGATAACTTGAAGCTACTTACAGACACTAAACTGAAGCTCAATGAACTGATAGATGTAGCCTACATAGTAGGAAATCATAATGAAGAAAAGAGAAACGTCATTTAAAATTAACTCATAATTCAACTAAGCTAATGGCGTTTTGAGAAACAAATTATTTGCGTAAAAATACTTTTTTTGATTTGAGTTTGCAATATCACTCATCAAAAATATTTACTTTTCAATTGTATTATTATCTATAGACATAAAGAAACATTTTCAGTTGGTTGACAACTGATCATTCAAGAGTACTTCAGTTGGTTGGAATCGAATTTGAAGAAGCAACTTTATAATTTCTCAAATTATTTCAGGAATGAAGAGGATGAATTTTAAAACCTACAAAAACTGTAAGCCAACAAATACTTATGCAAGTAGTTTAAATGTACATTCTATCCATAATAACGATAAGATGTATTTCTGGAATGAAGAAATTTGGGGCACGATGTATACGAAGTATATCAAAATTTCTTCATAATAATTAAAAATGGTTTCCATTGGATAAGTCTAAATTCGTGACAATAAACACATCATCCATGGTAACCTTTGAAAGTATCTCAACAAATCAATAGTAATATAATTTACCTTTCCTGTCTCTTGTTCGACTCCTGACTGAAGCAGGGAAAGGCAGCTGAGGATGGTCCAAAGTTGTCGAACCAGACATCCCAGTATGGGCGTCCCGAAAATCGCCAGTTTCTGCCCAAACTGTAACAAAATATAAAGTTGCTCGATGTTTCTGACAATCTTAAAACAACATCAATGATAAAACGATATAGGCGGCCTACCACCAGACTCCTGATCACGTCTGTCTACTGAAACAGCTTTGGAAATAGTGGAAAATTGCTTATTCTATCCAAAGATACTTATAGTAATGAGAAAAAGACATTAAAGGATACATACTGGTTTTTTTGGGGAAGTTGAACGTAGGCAAAAACTTAAATCGGCCTAACATCGATGGAACAGAATAAATCAAGAACTAAGAAAGAATCATTATTCAATAATTACTCTTGTTGATCATGATCAACGAGCACCTCATTTGAAATTTAGAACAAGTCATCAATTGGTGTGGATGAAGTCTCTACTATATTATTAGAAATATGTCTCCTATTATTATCAAACCGTTGACTTTTTTTTAGATCAGTCTCTGCTCTCTGACCTCCAAAAGCAATTCTTGTGATTTCCCAATACAAAAAATTAGCTTTCGATAGACTAAAATAAAACTCTTCAAAATGGTGTCTCTCAGTTCTTAGTTTTCTGAGTTATTGATAAAAAAAAAAGTTCTTGAAGAAGGGTTTTTCAACAAGACAAGGTGTCACTGGAACAAATGATATGTTAGTATTTTGTGTTTTGTATGAATATTTGAGTATATCAACAAATTCATATCATTTTATATTTTGAAATGCCTCCTTTCAGTTATAACGAAGTAACAAGCAAATCCCCCTCATTACCCCTCCCTGCAGTATGAAAGAAAGTTTTTTTATGAAAATAAGTGGAACAGAATCTTTATAGGACGATATCAGTTCTGAATTTCACAGATTTTCTGTTCACAAAACAGTGCTTTCTTCTTCCTGTCTCGTTTAGCATATCGAAACAGAACAAACAGGAATATTAAATCCTTCACAGCTGCCCCATCCGGTTGCAATTAAACCATTATATAACACTAGGCGTGTAAACAAAGTGGATTATTATTTATTTACTCATAGACTCATTGCTATAATATGTTAGGATTAGTCACCGATTAACTCATGATTGTTTTGGCTTAGCACTAACAATACCTTATACATAATTCGTCACAGGGAATGGCAGAGCAAGCAGCAGGTGATTCTTCTCTTCCAAAGGGTGAGATTCTTGTGAAAGGTTTTTGGGTGGTGTTGTCAGAAACAGGTTTGAAATAATAATGATAATAATAATAAATGTTCTTTATTCATCGTACAAGTAACAAGATTTCCGATGAAAGACGAAAATTAGCTTAGGCTGTTTCACAACTCAACCTATCAACTTAAAGTGAAAAAAATGAAAGGTATATAAAAAGAGAAAAAATAAAGTAAGTTAATGATTACAAATTACAAGTTAGCTCTGTAGGATATTGCTATACAGGGCTTTTCATGATGAGCGTTAATTAGCCGTTTCTGGCAAACTATTCAACGGATCAACCTGAAAATTCCACAGTATGCATAAGTCAATATGACCTACACGCCTAAAATATTTTAGACGAAGCGGCGTTGTCGCTTCTACTATAAAGTAGCGGCTTCTTTGATTTTTCAAATGGAACACCCCGTATATAATATCATATTATGATTCATTATCACTTTGTCAACAAATTCATATACTATTTCCCTATACCTATCTATTACCGTTTAGAAGATATAAATTAATTTCGATATTTTTTTTACCAAACATGAACTTTTATAAATGCTGATAATCTTGAACTCTCTTGCACTAAAACGATCAAATTTGAAATGGAGTGGAGTGATACTATGAGGATCTTCACTCCGAGTCATATTTTCATTTGCCTCATACAGGGTCTTCAAAAAATGCAGATACTTTGATCTCATGAAAAAATGAGTGGAACTCAATTTTTTCAAATGGAACACCCTGTATATTTCAACATTTTTGAGCTCTACATCCAATTTTAGATTAACTTTGTTCAGATAATACTATTTCTATTTTGAACCGTTTTCGAGATAAACTGTTTCAAACGGAAACTGACGTGGTTTTCTTGCTCGTTTTTTTGAATTCATCACTTATTTTGGATATTCAACATTTTTTTTATACTTAGTAATATTTCTTTTTGATCCAGTTTTTTAACTGTCTCATATCAGTCAATTCGAAATTGGTATGTACCTACCTTAGAAAAAGTTACAATTTGTATACATTGAGGTATTGGTCTCTAACGTACAACAGTACACATTAATATTTTTCAATAGTGTGCTTTGGAAAAATAAATAAACCAATTATTTTACGTCAGACTTTCGTTGGTGGTTTTGACTGATTGTGATAGCTATCAATTATAATAGAATGATCTCATTTCATTATAGACAGCAACAAATTCAGAAAACGATGTAAATCTTTCTCCGGACATTGATCACAGATTTATTTAGGTCTTTAGAGCATCCTGGAATGTTGGACTGAAGCACTAATAACTCTCTCAAAACTTATTGACAAAAGATAAAGTCACAAATAACATACATTCTTTTCGATATAACTTCAACAATGTTTACATTTTCGGTAAAATTGTAAACCAGGTTATCTATTAACAGTTGGGTGTTACTTTTCTTATCATTTTGCTATTTATTTCCAACTCGGTAATCGATTGGACGAATCTGAATATTCTGAACGAACTGTGAAAATGTTTCCCAAACTGTGAGATGAAATTTCTTTTTATTCTTCTTCAGGAACTTATTATTGAAAGATTTGGAGCCGTGATTTTCCTATTTAATCCATTATTATATCAAAATAGACATTGACATGAAAAAATAATTTTTCACTAGAAACTGATAGACAGACAGTTCAACCAAATTGGTCAAAATGAAAGTTTTTGTTTTAGCAGTCTAATGGTTCAGTTCTAGGTCTAATTCTTTGATACTCACATACGGAATGACGATTGCAGACATTTTAGGTAATTTGAGACTACTTCACGACAGGTTCACACATTTTTGGAAAATTTATTGTTTCTAGTCAATATATTTTCTAAATTATGTGTTTCATTGTTCACAAGTTAGTAGCTCATGAGACGGACCTAATTGTAGTTACTTGTTTTCATTATTCTAAAAGGGATTCTGTTGCTTTGGACTTTTTCAGTTCAGTTGATGGAGTGAGTTTCGAAAAAACATCTTTATTTGTATTCCCATACAACATATCTCCATTGGAATTGACAAATTTAAAAAATACTAGCTGTTGCCGCGGTTTCTTTTGCGTGGGTTTCAATTTTTAGATTTTTCCAGATTTTCTATGAGCAAAAACTTCTCAAGTATTCGCCAACCTTTGATTCAAACGAAATAGTTCTACATACTGTAGTTATAGCAGGTATATGCGAATGAGCCACAGTTACATTTTTACTATACGTATCAATTGGGCTGCCTAAGAAGAATCGAAACCTTTGTCTAATAGATTAACACTAAAGATATTTTTCTCAGAGTGGTGCGAATAATTAATTGATATTTTAGAATTTTCTCCGGAAATGTTGAGCTTAAACATAATTTCGTAGTGTTGAAATAAGGTCAATAGCCATGGATGATTTAAACTGGAATGAAAAAAATACGAGGGTTGCCTTTCATGTTTATGACATACGCGCGCTATTTGTGTTGTTTACAGTAACTTAAAAGATTCATCCCGGCCCAAAAATGGAATTAAATCGTTAACATTTTCGTGCGATTATTTTTTACAATTTTCGACGTGGATTAAGTCAGCAACAGAGCATGGATGAACTTAATTGAGTTTTTGGCGATGAAGCTCCATCAAGGACCATTGTTTATCGATGATATCATTACACATCCATGTATAGAGTTACTTATTTTCAAATTGATTACTTCCTTCCTTTCTTTGGAAGATTCCCTCATCCATTTTTGTATCAAGATGTATCAAGAGTAGTAGAAAGCTAAAAACTTTCTTTCCCAAAAATTAATCACTCCTAAAAATATAACCCCTTCAATTCAAACCATCGATATATTGTCGTTTCATGAAAAATATCACATCCAAGGGAATATGCCCTCCTGTCCACAATATCCGACATATTCTACTTATGGATCAAAATTCCAATTGATTTTTCAACATTTTGTATTATCATGGACATCTTTAATGACTGTGAAGTTTCTATACACTTGTTCTATTCATTGATCAAAAAACGTTTCCAAATTTGATATATTTCGGAAGACGAAATCCAGCTCATTGTTCAACGAAAGCGTTGATAAAAAAACTGAGATTATGAAAGTCATAGTTACATATTTAAACGTAGAAACAAATATACCACGATAATGAGTATTTATTCAAATGTTCGTAATGTTTACAATGTGTACACTACAGCACGAGGACTCATTGTTACTCGATATTTGCTTCACTAAAACGGATCTGAACAAACACAAATTCTGGAGAAAGGACATTTTTCTCAAATACTCAGTATTTGTTCATTTTAATAAACATCGTAAAAGAATTCATCTACTTGCCCAAATACTGTAAATTAAATAGTCGTTTTACAGCACTCGCTATAAAATATCTATTTACAATTATTTCATTCCGCCATTGGTATTTTCTTGACGAAAAATACGTTTGTTATCAGTATGTATATCAATTCAAGGATTTTATCAAGCGAGTGCTAAAAATGGAAGAGATTAAATGTACACAGAAGTTTATAAATTCATTAAAAACATTTTTACCCCGGATTCAAACAACACCCTTCAATTATTATTTATTGAATTGGAAGCATCTTAACAAGAATCTGAAAAACAAAGTTCATACTTTGGTTTTTGGTTTAACGTGAGCAAACGGGGCACCCAATGCACGGGCAGCTATCTCATGCCTGAATGTTGATTTAATATGTGACAAACACGTTTTTTGACATGTTCATAACCTCTGCTATCTCTCTCACTTTATTTCGACCGTAGTCTAACATCATACCCCATACACATCATCCAATTCATCTTTGATTTGTGTAGGCGTATTGCCGTTCAAAAAGAAATATTTATTGACAGCTCGATACTCGATTTTCT